AAAAACAAAGACACAAGATCTTCCAAAGATTCCTGCAGTTCACGAGAATCCTCGAAAGAGCGTAAAGATAGTAAAATAGTAAAAGAAATGTTCTCGCCTACCAGTATAACTACAAAACAAAGAACCAATCTTAGAGATAATGAAACAAGGTCATCTAAGGACTCCTGCGATGTTCGAGATTTACCAAACGATCGTAAAGATATTAAATTAATGAGTGAAACATCCATACCTGCAAGTACACAACAAAAATATAATTTCAAAAATAAAGAAATAAAATCCCCTAAGGACTTTCGCAGTTCACGAGAATTAGCGAAGGAAATTAAAGATGGAAAGGCAGCAAATGATACGTGTATGTTGGCGAGAACATCTTCGAAAGAAAAGTTGGACAACGCTTCTGTAACAGACCTCAGAGGAAGTAAAAGCAATCTGATATCAAAAGATTTGACTGAGAGCAAGGACTCAACAGCAAAGAGCAATAAAGACGTCTGCAAAACGAAAAGTTTGTCGCGCGAGTCGTCCCTTGATTCGAAATGCTCTGAGAAGCAAAAGACGTCTAGATCAAGTAGAGACTCGTCCAGAGATTCGCGAGATGATAAAGTACTACTAAATTCTCCGAAAGAAATAACGGCGCACTTTAGGGGAAGTTTGAAGGAAATTTTCTCGCCACCGAAAATAAAATCTGTAACAACAAAATCGACCACAACTTCAGAACCTAGATCACTAACAAGAGTAGAAAAAGAGACGCTACAAGCTGTAAAATCAAACGCTAACGAGAACAAAACAAACGAAAAATCAAAAGGAAAAAGCATTAGTAAAGAAGAGGACAGTTGCAGTGGCAAGAGTGACAGTAAAGCAATAGAGAAACGAGTGCCTAAGTCCAGTAATATTGAGGAGTCAAACACGAAGGAGCGAGAAATTAGTTCAGGAAAAAGAACATTTACTGCGTCTACAGATAATGAAGAAAAGATTGAAAAGAGAAAAATCACAAAACCCAATACAATTGAAAAACTATCAGAAAAGACGAAAGAGACTGATGTAAGTAAGCAGAAGGCTGCTCCCAATTTTAAATTTGAAGAAAAAACTGCAGAGAAACTCGTTGAAAAACCGGAGGAAACGGTGAAAGATTCAGCTATAGTCCACAACACCAAAATTAAGGAAAAGATTAAGGAAAAAACGATCAAATCCAATACGGTCGAAAAATCAGTTCATGATGGAAAAGAAAAGGCTATTTTACATAACCCGAACGACACTTCCGAAGAAGCTAATGATAAAAAACCAAACTTTTCTACGACGCTACAAAAGTCGCCACCCGATAATGCCACAGCAATGCGAAAGCTATCATCTGATAAGTTAACGATCGTTTCCAGATCATCGCCTAATAATTGTCAAGCCGTTCGGAAGTCGTTATCTAAAGACAACAACTCCGACGTTTTGGATGAAGCCTCGCCGAAGGCACCTCGTATTTTAAGGGATAGATCCAAAGGGGATCAAAAAGCTAGACAAGAAGAGCTCCCTAAAGCTTCTCCAGTTAATGATAAATCGGCTACTCTTGCAATGGAAGCTTCGAAAGTATCGAAAACCAAAGATTCTTGTTCAGAAACAAACAATCCATTACCGGCGTCCGAAGAACAAAATAAGTCTTCTGATGATTTATCGAAGTACTTAAATACTCATAAATATCTATCATCACCGACCAACTCGACATCGAGTCAAAATAGTGATACGAGACGTGCCGCGACTCCAAGCGTCAGTGAAATTTATCTCAGACGTACGTTGAGAAAACGAGGCGCGGAATCTCCTTTCGTTGAAAAAGGTTAATATTTTTATATATTTTTTTTAAGCCAACTTGGATTTTGCATCTTAATCAATTTTCGTTTTACAGATGAAGCGAAGAGATTGTTTAAAGAACCGCAAGTTCAAAAGAAAGGTGCCAAAACTTCTAAGCAAGAAGAAGTCCCGATAATATTTTCATCACCTGTAGTCAGTTTAGTACAAAATAAACGCAACCTACGTTCACCTAATATTGAAACTGGTAAAGATGGTAAGAGAACTCCATAAAGTTAAGTGTTTGAGTAGGGAAAGAGTAGAGAACACTTCACTCAATAAGGACTTAGACTTCACGAATTCATATAATTTTCACGTGCTACCAACGACCTTTAAACGAAATCTATCAAAATTTCCAACCAGTCCAGTTTACAAGTTGCAATACTTTTAATGACGCAAATGCAAGAAAGTAAAAAAGAAAAAATTTGACTTGCAGAAAAGTAAGGTAACGACACTCACGTGGCTATTAGCTAGCTTAACATCGACCTCAAACTTAATCAAGAGAAAATGATATTTTTTGCAAAAGTCAATGATAGGAACTTATCAACTTTGATTCAATGATTAATTGATTAATAAGCACAAATTAACATTCGTAAACGTCATCGCTGACATATCAATCGCTAAAGGGGAAGAAATACAATACTTTGACCAATAACAGATTAAAAATATTTTATTGATAAGCATCCGAAATTACATCAACGAGATATTAATCTAAAAAAAAGAAATTAAAAGGTTGCAAAGTTAACTTCTTTAATATTTTGAAAAGTATAATTTATAAACGATTCTGTATTAATTAACATAAACTTGGTTTACCTACTTCAGATTTATCTATTGCCGCTAAGAAGCCCAAGCTGGATTTAACACGAAAATCTTGTAAGCATTATAGTGATTTCCTTTGTTTTGAAAAAATCCAATACAACTTCTTACTTTTTTAGTGCGGTCACGTAAAGTAGTGGTAGAAGAACTAGGAGAATTAGAGACAAAAGTGTCTGCACAAAATACACTAAAAAAAGTAAAGGTCGAAGTTAAATCTTTACCGTTCAGACAAGAAAATAAAGATCAAGCAGCTGAACGACAGTTAAATAAGCCCCTAACGGATACAAGAATTGGATCCATCGAGTCATCTCCTAAAGAAAGTGTTAAAGAAAAGGAGAAAAAGTTTCTAAACAAATTATTTTCAATAAATCCTGAAGAAAAGAACACTGAAATTCATATCGAGAAAGTAGAAACTGATGTGAACGATTCGGAGACAAACAACAGTCAATCGACTTCTTACAGGAAAAGTTTACGCTCTGAAGATGCTTTGAAGCAACAAAATAATTCAAAAAGGGAAGAAACTATTCCAAATTTATCGAATAAATGCACTATGGAAAGAGGGTCGACTTCACCGTCGCCTAGTAAAAAAACGAACTTTTCTGATAAGTCTCCCTCTACAAGTGTCATGACTTTTACAGAATGGTTACAAACGCAAAAGAAAACAACTGCAACAGAGAATGAGAAGCAAAAAGTAACGGTCTACCCCCTCACATCAGAAATATCTTGCTCTCCTTCGCAAGGTGTCCAAGTTCTATCAGCAAAAATATCGACGGATAAAATAAACAAAGCGGGAATTGTAAGGAAAACCAAACGAGGATATCAAAAGTTTTGGCGCAGACGTAAAATTTCTCAAAAGTCATCTGCGATCATTGCAGCGGATGCAGAATTGGATAAAAGCACTGTTAATAGCGTAGAACGTTCGTCAAACAGCACACCTAAATTCAGAATTAAAAGAAGCGAGACCGAAACACTAATGGATTCTTGGTCTAAGAAAATGAAAGAAAGCTTATTAAATGCTGATAGTCCACTTGAGAAGCGTCAACGGTCGATTTTGCACAAGTCTACATTGCCAGCGCCTACGCTTGGAAAGCTAAATAAATTACCAGTGTTCAAAGAAACGACTGTCATTGAGGAAAAACCAAAGCCTATTGCTGAAAGCACAAAACAGCAGCAAAAAGTTCAGAAAACACTTACGAGTAGTACCAAATTATTACCACCATCGGAGAGCACATCCGCAATTGAGAGTACAGTATTTCCCAAACCGCAGGTATTTGTTTCACTTGATGGGAAAGATAAAAAGCTCAATACTTATGAGTTTACAAGAAGAAAAGAGAAATCAGTAAACTTACCTGTAACATCTAAATCTGATATTGAATTTAAAATTCCCCAAAAAAAGCTAGGAGTAGTCGTCAAGGTAAAAAAACAATGGACTTCAATTTGTGGAATAAATCAAAAAATTTATTATTATTATTTTGTGTAGGACAAATGTAAGTTGCCTATACGAAGATTAGTGGTACGTATAAATCGTTCAATCGTGAGAAGATATCTGCAGACATCTAACCAAACCGAGACGCCGAAGATTGGTAACGTGTTTAGAGAACCCAATTAACAAAAGAAATGAAGGCCCACAAAACGAGTAAGTGTGAAACAACTTAATCAATTCTGAAATCTTCATTCCCATAATTATTGTCGAAAGAGATTCCTTAAAATAGCGGCCTAAACAGATGAATTTTTTTTTTCATACTTTTATTGTCTTATAAAGTTTCTGAAATTTCGAGCATATGTTTAAGGACCAGTTGATTAAATGAAACTTAACTTAC